TTACCAAATTCAATGATAAAATCAAGTCGGGTGTCATTGGGAGATTTGATTTCAGCTTGTAGAGGATCATTATGTAATTTATCAATTTGAAGGCATTTAACATTTAAAATTTTCCACCATGTCAAAACCTCGTTTATGAAGAGGGCAGTATCATTCTTACCTGCACTTATTTCAGACTGAGTGAGAAGTGCATTATATGTTTTTTCAGAAAACACTCTGAGGCAAGTAGAAAGCCGTTGTCTTTCTATTGGCTTTGGAGCAATGAAAATTTCATTTAAATCTGAAAGTCTGACTAGTCTTTCAGATTCAAAACGATATAACTGTTTAAGATGTGTCCATTTTGCAACTCGACTTACTCCATCATCATCAAAGATTAGTTCTCCTGTTTTTTCTGTCAGCCACAAATTGCGAATATTTTTCAACAGATGAACATAATCAAAAAAAAGCAAATGTTTATTATCTTCAGTTAACCATGGTTTTTCAGGAAGTGTAGGATATAATTTAAAAAAGCTTGATTTACGCGGTTTGCCATCACATATAATAGCCTTTACATCAGCTGGTACAGATGTGATGGCTTGGACTGTTAACTCAATTTGTTCAAATAAAAAGGCGGATGTTATTTTTGAAATTGGAATCAATTTTGTAAGAAAATTTAAACCCCCAATGAGATATATCAACATTATACCAAGTACTGTTTGAGCAAGTACAGATGGATTGTCAACTGATTTACCAAATAGTTGTTTGCCATGATATAGCAACATCTTTTTGATATATACTTCATCATGGAGAATTATGCACCCTTTTTGACTGGTATTAAGAGTATTAAATATAGATAACAAAAAAGATTTTTCATTAGTTTTGAAACTTTTGACGTCATCCTTCATAATGTTGCTAATGAGGGTAATTGAAAATCATATCTTAATTCATTATACAATGTCCATGATCTTGCATAGTACTCAAAAGCATGCACAACTATATTTGAGCTGTATTTTATTCCAACCATTTTGGGGGCCATTGCTAAAAATTGTTGACTCAGGATATTTTTCTTGTGATCAAAAGCCATAGAATTTAAATATCGGATGATTTCTTCCAGTTTTGACCAAGTATCAACTGTATTTATATGATTTTTGGACAGGCTGCTAATATAACACTTAACTCCATAATGAAATGTTTCAAAGCGCAAATTGTTATAAATTTTCAACATAAAGAGAGGAATACCATCAATAGATTTTGATAATTGAACAGTTAAAATATTTTCATCCAAAAATGCTACAACTGGACATATAAAGTCTTTTTTGTTGAAGCAGACTTTCTTTCAAATTTGTATAATTTTATCTAATTCTAAAAAAGCATTAAGTTCATCAGCAATTTGATTTCTAACAGTACTGGAGGTTTTTTATATTCCTTTGAACAGAGGGTGTTGGTATTTGACTACTTGGCACACCTGGCCATACAGATGGTGGATTTTTTTTTGGTGGGGGGCGTATTTTTCCATTAACTTTTATCATATGGTATCAAAATTTGAAGGCCAATGTTGTTTACTTTAAAAAGTTTATATTAAATTTAAAAACATTCATAAGTAGCCTTTCCTTTAGTTTGGTTATTTTAATACGCTCTAAACTATATAAATAGGAATATATATAACTTTTTGCCTTAAAAAAAAAACAATTAAAAGTAAAAAAAAATAATGCATTTTGTCCTTTAACAACAATATCAGAAAAATATTAAAATAAATAAATAAAATGGTATTATTATTGTCTTGTAAAATAAATTTTGTAGTCAAAAGGCGTAAAAAAGGAGACCTTTCTAAAAAAAAAAAATAATAATTATTGACATTAACTGCATGTAATAAATTTATTATTGTTATTTTTTTCTTTAATTCTAATAAGTAAAAAAATACTTACAGTTCACCAATTGGTAACTAATGTAGTAAAAATAATCATTTATCTTTAACTTCGGAAACAAATGCGCGAAGAAATTCGTTTGTTTTGTTTTTTTTTACTTTTAATGGAAATGTTGGATTATAGTGGGTCAGCCAATTTGTATTGGTTATAAATAGAAATAAAAACTGACCCTCTACAATTTTTACAATATCAAATGTAACAAAGACAACAACAAGAGAAATAATCAAGGAGAAGAAAATGTGAATTTGTTCAACAATAAATATTTTTTATAAACACAACAAATACATAATATATAGTGCAAAAAGTTGATAAACACAATAGAGTTCTTTTTGTGTGTGTGTTACTGAAAGAATTTTGAGCTACTGTACTGTATGTGTGAAAATGACAAGGTTTAGTTAGCTATATTTGTTTTATAGGAAAATTAGACAGATGTTTTTTGTGTATTAAATAGAAAAAAAGTATTGTTCTTGACTCACTGATTGTTATCGCTCATTAACCAGAGATTCTTGTGGAATGGAATATTTTGTGGGAGTGAGCGTTAAGCCTGGAGGTGGTTGACAAAGTTTGTTGTTGTATTCAAGATAAAGTTCGTCTCCTTTGCTGTGTTGATTTCCAATGAAGTCAAGTGAATTGGTTTCAATATTTTAAGTGCCCAACTGACCAAGTCGCGTCGAAGTTTCGTTTTTATTAGTTCTCTTGGTCACGTGGGGAGGCTCGTAAACATGTTTACATTTTATGGCGTCAATTAGAGGTCAATTTATATTTGGCTGGGAGCCTCTATGTGTTTAACTTGCACAAAATTTAAGATTTTAAAAAATGTAGGAATCTGATTCTACAATAACCCCCCCACCGCAGATTGTGAAAGTTTTTGAGAGAAAATTTTCTCAATATGTAATATACGTTTTAAATCTACTAGGCCAATGAACATGTCTGCCAGACTTAGTAGTAACTTCCGCGGGTGGTACTGAAGGTGCAAGCTGTGCTGGCTGGGTCGAAGATGTTAGCTCAGGGTCAGGAAGCGATTTATGAGATAAATCGATGTAAGCCGGTTTCAACCGGTCGACTGACACTGTGTTAGGCTTTCCGTGCAAAAGTAAAGTAAAATGCTCGGACGTTCTATTAATTACTTTATGTGGACCAGAATACGGGGGGTTAAGGGTCTTCTAACTGCATCTTTTCGCAGGAAGACGTAATCACAACTGTCTAAATTTTTCGGCATAAAGAACTCCCCTTGTTTGGGCACGCGTTGAAGTAAAAGCTAGGTTTTCCATTTTTGTTTAAAATCCTGGACGAAATAGGTAGTCGGTCTGGAAGGAGTATGCTTTTCCACGAACTGTCCAGGGAGTGTTAGCGTACTCCCAAAAACTAGTTCTGCTGTAGTGCATCCTAAGTCCTCTTTGACTACATTTCTTAATGACAGTAAAATCAGTGGTAGGTTTTCCAGCCAAGTCCTGGAGTCATCACTTGCTGCTAGAGCTGTCTTAAGTTGCCTATGAAATCGTTCCACAAGGCCGTTTGCACATGGATGGTAGGCGGTTGTAGAAATGTGTTTTACGCCTAACAAGTTTATAAATTCATTGAAAAGGACTGGAACTGGGAACCTCTATCAGTGGTTATTATTGAAGGATAACCAAAGATAGAGATCCACTCTCTAAGAATGCACCTGGAAATCGTTTCCGCTGAAATACTTTTTAAAGGAACGGCTACAGGCCAACGAGTGAAACGATCGATTATCGTTAATAAGTATTGGTACCCATCAATGTCGGGCAAAGGGCCCACTAAGTCAACGTGAATGTGGGTGAACCTACCATCAGGCTTAGAGAATGTACCAGGCGGAGACTTTGTATGCCGTTGTATTTTAGTTTGCTGGCATTTTAAACAAGTCTGTGTCCAGAGGTTTATGTCACTGGACATTTTTGGCCAAACGAAACGATCACTAATCATCTTAGTAGTCGCTCTTCGACCAGGGTGCGACAGAGAATGGAAATGTTCGAATATTTTTTTCGCAAAGAAGGTGGTACCTAGAGTATCCTGTGCTTACATCACAATAGACAGTAGTGTTACCAAATGGCACAGGGTGTTGCTTTAACTGTAGTGACGTTTTTTCTTTTACTGATTCCAAAGTAGTGTCAGTCTTTTTGTTCTTCCGCTAAGGAGTCGAAATTCAAGGTCTGTGCGTCAATTGACTGTATCGTTGATCGCGATAGGGTATCAGCTACTATATTGTCAGCCCTTTTTACATAGCGGATATCCGACGTATATTGGGAAATATAATCCAATTGTCGGATATCCCTTGGGGTATATTTGTCCGACTTGGCGTGCAGAGCATAAATTAATGGTTTATGATCTGTATAGACCACAAAATTCCGTCCTTCAAAAAGATGACGGAAATGACGGATTGCCAAGTATATTGCCAGTAATTCCCTTTGAAAATGCGCTGTACTTTTTCTGAGATGAGTTTAGCTTGACTGAAAAGAACGAAATAGGTTTTTAGCATCTCCCTGTTCCTGGTGAAGCACAGCCCCTATGGAGTCGCCTGATGCGTCTGTTGTCAGTGTGATCATTGAGTCATCATCGGTTATATATGATAACTTCGTAAATTTGGCAAGGCGTCTTTGGCTCTGTGAAAAGCAGTCAGTGATTCGCCTTCCAAGGTAATCTTTGAGTTCTTCTGACGCTGTTGTTGCAGTAAATCTGTGAGGGAATCAGAATCTGGGAACAACCAGGAATGAACCTGCAGTAGTAATTAATGAGGCCTAAGAATCGGCGTAACTGCCGGAGTGAAGTTGGTTGTGAGAAATTTGAAATAGATTCTATTTTCTCAGGTAAGGGCGTTATTCCCTTTTCGTCAATGACGTGTCCCAAAAATTTAAGCGAGGGCACAGCAAAAATACATTTCTCTGCGTTAATCTTAAGGTGAAAATGCTGTAGACGCTGGAAAACTTGTTCAACGTGGTGACGATGTTCAGTCTTGTTTCTACTGGCGATCAGGACGTCATCAATATAGGCAAAGGTGAAAGGTAAACCTCTCAGTACTTCGTCTATAAGCCGTTGGAAAGATTGTGCAGCGTTCCTTAAACCAAATGGCATTCTCACAAATTCGTATAAGCCAAAAGGAGTAGTTATTGCTGTTTTATGGATGTCTTCCTTGGCCACTGGTATCTGGTGGAATGCTTTCACCAGATCAAGTTTGGTGAAGACTGTGGCGCCCTGCAGACCCACTGCGAAATCGTGCAAGTGCGGGATGGGGTATTTATCCGGAATTGTAGTAGCATTCAGCTTCCGGAAGTCGCCACAAGGTCTCCAAGCTCCTGAGTCCGGCTTTGGAACCATATGAAGAGGAGATGAGTAAGGACTCGAAGAAGGTCTAATTATACCGAGGTCCAGCATGTGCTGAAACTCGTCTTTCGCCAGTTTATATTTATCAGGCCACAGTCGCCGTGGAGATGAATGCGTGGGTGGTCCCGTAATATCAATGTGGTGCTCAGCATTGTAACGAACGTTTTCTGTATACCGGAATGGTGTTGTAATTTGAGAATATTTTTGTAACAGATCCTGCATTCCGTTGGCTTCAGGTAGAGTTGCGCTGATACATGTGCTCGTATAAATAGATGTAATTCCTTTCCTTGTAATGTTGGTCGTTTTATCCTCCAAAGAAAGAGAAGACATATTAACGGACAAGTTAAAGTGGGCGAGGAAATCCGCTCCTAGGATTGGGGTTCGAACTTTTTGCTATCGTGAATACCCACGGAAAAGATCGCCTAAATCCCAGATTTAGGGTTAAAGAGGTTTCACCATATGTCTGGATTGAAGATCCATTCGCCGCTTGTAACGTATAATCTGTCTTTCTAGTCAACTTATTAGGCTTGGCTGGTATTACACTAATTTGTGCCCCAGTGTCCACTAAAAACAAGTAGCCTGATTTCTCATCTCGGATGTAAAAGAGACGACTTTTTGGCATCCCTCCGGCAGCAAACGTCTCTACTTGTTGCCGGGATAGTCGTTTCCCGACTGCTGTGTGTTGTTATCCTTAGCTGCGTTTATGTCGAAGTTACACGGTTTCGTACAATGCCGCGCTTGTTGTCCATATTTAAAATGATATCAACAGGTATTAAATATAGGCCTGCTTCTAGATGTGGAACGTGATCTTCGCCTAGTATGATGTGATGGACGTGGTCGACTAGTGAAATTGTTGGGTGTGCGATTTTGCTGATGCATAGCGGTTTGTAGAGCTTGTAACTGTGAGGTAAGCTCGGCTATACAATCTTTAATTTTCGATAACTCTTGTGAGTCACGGACTGAAGAGACAATAGGTTGTAGTGGTGTTGCAGAAGCAGTTCCCGGAGGTTTATTCTCATATATTTTGTCCGCGATTTCTGCCAATCGCTGTAGGTCCAAATCGTCGGGGAGTGACACTAATATTTGTGATGTTTGTGGGCTCAGTTTATCCATCCATAGTTTACGGAGGACTGTGTCAGACATGGTAAAGCTTTCATCTTTCTAAGCAATTGGGAAGGTTTATAGTGTCCCAAATGAAGGTTGTTAAACAAATCGTGCAACCGACGTTCCTCTGCTTCGCCCGTGCGGTATAGTATAGCATCTTTCAAAGTATCATACGGTTTCTCCGCCGGCACTTCACTGAGGAGGTCTGCTACCTCTAATGCTACATCTGAGGGAAGTTTCTCAACTACAAAGGCGTAACGGGCATGTTGAGACGTGACTTTTCTTGCATTAAAAATTGCGTTTAACTGCGCAAACCACACTTGAACGTTGGTGTGGTTGTACGTCGGTAGACTGATGCAAATTGCCGCTTCAATATGTTCGCTGGTAGAATTTTCCATTGTTTTCGTTTAAAACGTGACAACTAAAGTATTTCTCTTATAAAATGCTGTTTTTAAAATATTGCTTTGCACATTTGAACTTCAGGGGTCACCAATTTATAGTGGGTCAGCCAATTTGTATTGGTTATAAATAGAAATAAAACTGACCCTCTACAATTTTTACAATATCAAATGTAACAAAGACAACAACAAGAGAAATAATCAAGTAGAAGAAAATGTGAATTTGTTCAAAAATAAATATTTTTTTATAAACACAACAAATACATAATATATAGTGCAAAAGTTGATAAACGCAATAGAGTTCTTTGTTGTGTGTGTGATACTGAAAGAATTTGAGCTACTGTACTGTATGTGTGAAAATAACAAGGTTTAGTTAGCTATATTTGTTTTTATAGGAAAATTAAACAGATGTTTTTTTGTGTATTAAATAGAAAAAAGTATTGTTCTTGACTCACTGATTGTTATCGCTCATTAACCAGAGATTCGTGTGGAATGGAATATTTTGTGGGAGTGAGCGTTAAGCCTGGAGGTGGTTGACAAAGTTTGTTGTTGTATTCAAGATAAAGTTCGTCTCCTTTGCTGTGTTGATTTCCAATGAAGTCAAGTGAATTGGTTTCAATATTTTAAGTGCCCAACTGACCAAGTCGCGTCGAAGTTTCGTTTTTATTAGTTCTCTTGGTCACGTGGGGAGGCTCGTAAACATGTTTACATTTTATGGCGTCAACTAGAGGTCAAAATTTGGGTCGGTACCTTCGGACGTAGTTGACGACACCTAATTAATATTTTACTACCAATCAAAATACATCAGTTGTTATATTTGGCTGGGAGCCTCTATGTGTTTAACTTGCACAAAATTTAAGATATAAAAAAATGTAGGAATCTGATTCTACAGGATAAAGTTTTAATAGAGAAATGTTAATGAACCTTTCTCTACTAAAATTTTATTCAAATTTATTATTCAAACTTAATTTAATAGAAAAATGTTGACTTATGCTAATTTTTTATCATGGTTAAAAAAAACTTGAGAAAATTAAACTTTAATTTCGTTGACGTTATGTTTTCACTCATAACAATGTTTTTTTTTTTTAGCGATATCAAAAATAAATATCAAATTTAAGTAATTTTATTCATTTTATAATAAAAATAGTTTTCTTTACCGGTTTACGTCTTTGAAGAAACTAAATTAAATTCTGTTCAAATTTGTTAAACGTTGTTTTGTTTTTTTGCTTCTTAAAAATAACACAAATTACTCAAAAAAAAATTGCATTTTATCAATAAATAATTCTTTAAACTTTAATCAAAAAATGTTGAACAAACTTTAAGAGGGAAAATGACAAAAAATGAATTAAACTTTAATTTAAAATGTTAAGACTTAGTAAATCTTTTGTGCGAGTAAATTTAAGCACCAAAGTTTACTTTTTACAATTTAAATATAAATAATGTATGGACTCAAACTAAAATAATCAAATATACTTACTTCAAATAAATAAGTTAAATGATATTCCAACCAAAGGTAAAATTGAAAGATTCCTTTGAATTTCTCGAGCCAACAACATAAGAGTACACAGTACGCAGCAGTTCGCTCAAACTGAAACTAAAACGATCTAATTGTCAGCCGGCCTCCAGTCAATCGCGGTAGCGGCCTTATGCAGTGGCCTGTTAATATAGAACGCCATGATTTATAACCAATGCAGATTGGCTAACCCACTATAACCTTCAGTCAACGAAAATCTGCTCTGAATCGAAAAACAAAAGATAAAACTGACATTATTTAATTAGAAAAGCTTTTAATTCAGTATCTGTCTATATTTCTGAGATGAGATATATGTACATTATTTACATTGTGTACATCATCTTTGTTGCCATATTTATCACAACGTTTCGGCAGCTGTACGCTCCAGCCTTCTTCAGGTGGTTGGAATGTTGAATTGAACCCTTTATTTCGGTAGACTGTTCTAGTTCCATGTCTAATGGATGTTAGTTATCAGTTATCTATTGCTAATTCCCCTCTCCAAGTTCCGCCTTAACCAGGTATTGAACTCACACTCTTTCACACGCAGATCCTTTGTATTTTCTCCGATAACCTTGTTGGAGATGTGCAGAATAAACTAAGGAATTTGGTGTAGGATTGAGTTGAATCAGAAAGAAATTTTATGTGAGGTTGCGTGAACTTTTCTGCATCCACAAACAAATAAACAATTTCAATATAAACAAGACAAAACATACATTCAATTCAACACCAATAAAAGCATTTATATACAAATACGATAATATATACAGGATATTTTTAAGGTTGTTAATGTGTTGGTGTGCTCGTGATATATGTAGTTTTTGTATGTCCTTTTTTATGTCTTGTGTATTAACGTTACAGTCTTTTTAGGAAATTGTAATTAATATTTAGAATGTAGGTATTTGTGTTTTAGAAATGAGTCATTACGAAGTAGTCTACCTTTGACTGCAAAATGTCGAGTTCGTTCGATGATGTTATTTACTTAGAATAGTAGTGAGTGTCAATTCACTTTAGATAAGTAAAGTTGTTCGGATAGAAGTTTCGTGTGTTCACAGAGTGTTCTTCGATTTGAGCTTGCGAGTGAGTCCGTGATGATTTAGTTTGCGCGGCAAGATTGCAGTTGTAAGCGACGTGGATTATATTAACATATCTCTGTGCTCATTCGACTGACTGACTTGGTCAGTTGATATTTTTCCTTTTATAGGTTTTTAGATGTCCAAGTTGGCTCAGATAAGTTTTGGCGCAATTTTATTTCCGCACGTGAAGCTTTCGAATTTTGTGTTGTGAGCCAATGAGAATCGCTGATTCGCATAGTAATGTTTCTATTGGTTAAGGTTTATGTACGTAGGCGTATAGAATAGAATGTTCTTGTTGCTAGGGGTGCTAAGGTAAATGGACGAGTCTACAACCCCTTCACATAAGGCAGGCAGACTGTTTTCTGAGTGCTGTTGTACTCCTCTTGTACCCACCTATCCCAGTTTATTGGGGCTGCTGCCATGTACCCAGGGTAGTTGTTACATTGTAGGGTACTGTTTATACTGACCAATTCTTTATCTGATGTCTGCATCATGACAACCTTCAAAAGCTGGACGAGACACTTCGCAGATACCTCTCTCAAGTAAAACACCCCATAGAGGAGAACATGACTAAAGACTGTGTGTACGCTATCCCGTGCAGCTGCAGAAAGAAATATATGATGGGGAGACAGGCCGCCCCCTTAAGGTAAGGCTTCAAGAACACCAAAAAGCTGTAACACGAGGGGAATTATATAAAAAAGGTGCTCACCCGTCATTTTCTTAAATTATGTTTTAACAGATAAAATCGCCATACAATAACAATGTCAACAACACCTTGTCAAGTGATTTACCAGGTGTCGATAAGCACTTAATCGCGCTAGTTTGTTTAAAAAGTCCATTTTCTCTGTTATTTCAAACTTAAACTAAAGTAATATATTTTTCAAATCAGCTAATATTTCACAAATATATACTTTAGTTTTTAGATTTTTAAAACTCATTTATTTTAAATCTTAGGTGTCGACATTTATACCAAAATACTGGAGGTACCGACAAAATATAAATCAAATTACCTGTTTATTTTTACGTCGGATAATTTGTTGGTTATCATTTTGATAAAAACTATTGGAAATAACTCGTACATATAAATGAATTATTCCCCCTAAATCTTGTTTTTAAGATATCTATTTATTTAGCTGAATAGTGAATACGATTAAATGATTTTTGAGATCTGTTTATATCAAAATCAATTTCTAATATTTAAACAGATAATTCATCCTAAAGTTATAACGAGCGTATGGTTAC